GGCTCACGGTGCCCTGGGAGGCTGCCCGGGCTCCCCATCCCCTGCCCGCACCGCCGTGGCCCTCGGGCTGACCCTGCCCGGCTTTGTTTGTCGTGTGTTGTGCCCTGCAGCCCTGAGGCTGTACCCACAGCGCAGCAACGCCCAGCCCTCTCCCCAGAAAAGCGGCCAAGAGAAACCACTGCAAATTCTGGCCGCAGCTTTGCTTCCCGGCTGGGAAACCTGTAGAGTCCACACTGGAGCAGAGTAGGAGAAGCAGCCTGCAAATAGCCACGGCTTTTTCTCTGCCCTGGATGTTTTGTCTCCTCCTTGCAGGAAAGCTGATCTCTCCATCACTCTGGGGACCTCTCTGCAGATCAAACCCAGTGGCAACCTCCCACTGATCACGAAGAAGAGAGGAGGGAAGCTGGTCATAGTCAACCTACAAGCAACCAAACACGTGAGTGAGAGCGTCCTCGCCGCTCCGCGCTGCTCCTCTCCCCTTGCGTCACTTGTTTCAGCCCCATCGCAGGTTAGTCCCCGCACACCGTCCCCTCCCAGGTGGCCAGATAGGTGATTGGCCTGGCTTAGCAAGCAAACAGGCTGGGCTTCCCTCGGTGGAGGCCTTAAACCTGCAGCTCCCAAGAAACACCTAGAAATGGAAGGTAACTCTTAAGAGCAGAATAAAACCTCAGCCCAAAGCCTGATGAATTATAGTCCGATGAAATAACTGCGCACACGTAACCCGTACCGCGGGGCTCACGTTCAGCCCTGGTTTTGGTGCCCTAATTGTCCAAAATCTTCTGAACAACCAGAGCTGGGGGGTTTCTGGGATGTCATTAGAGCTCCCTTGTCCCTGTCCCACTCTGACCTGGGCTCGCTAGCCTGGCTCTGCATCCGTTTCCCTGTCCCTGGGCTGTGTTTCAAGGTGTGGCTGCCTGCGCACACCCTGATCGAGCCCTGTCAGCCCGCGGTGTAGTGCCAGACAGGGTCAGGGGCTCAGTTCATGTTCCGCCAGGGATGATGTCTCAGGGACGGGAGCCCTGGAGCCCACGTGCAGCTGAGCCATCACCCTGTCCCTGTCCCCACGCGCTCCCTGGGAGGGGACATTTGTCCCCGCACACGGTGTTTGTCCCCTAACGCCATGCTTGCCCTCGCTTGCCCTAGGACAGACAGGCCGACCTACGCATCCACGCCTATGTCGATGATGTCATGATGAAGCTGATGAAGCACTTGGGGCTGGAGGTACCAGAGTGGACGGGGCCGGTGGTGGTGGAAAGCGCTGAGCTCACCAAGCCCGAACAGCTCTTCAAATTTGAGCCCGGGGCTCGCGGGCTGCTGAAGGAGGAGCCCCTCTCCCAGCACAACGGCACGGGGGGGCTCTGCCCTGACCTTGGGACCACGCTGGTGGAGCGCCGTGACAGTCTGAAGCAGGAGTGTCCCAGCCCGGACACGGGGCCAACGACGGTGAAGAAGATGAAGGTGGAGCCTCTCCTCACCTGACCCAGACTGTTCCCTGTCTGTCTAGACACTCGTCTGTGCCGCTTTTCCTACCGACTTTTTTTTATATCCCTTAAACATTGTCCCTTTTTTTATGTAAGTATTAAATACACTTGAATTGCCTGTGTCGGGGGCGGCTGTACCCACCGGCCCTGGAGGGGTGTTGTCTGTTTGAGACGGACCGAGCATCTAATTCCTTCTCTGTGAGGAGATGGTTGTGGCGTCCAGCGGACCACGGAGGGACGAGGGTGCTCAGTGCTGGGACGGTGACGCAGGGGGATCGTTGGGGAAGCGGAAGGGAAGGGGACTGGCCTGGTGCAGGGCTGGGAGCTGTGGGATGGTGCCCCCGTCCCCGCTGCTGTCCCCTCTGCCACGTTCCCAGCTCCGCTGGACCCTGGTTGCCTCATGGCAGCTGGGCTTGAGCTATCCCTGGCCCAAGGGTCTTTAAAACCTTGTGGATCACCCCATATTAAACTAAAACAAGTGGATTTTTTTCCAAAATACCTTTTATTTAGAGATGAAAATAAAGCTTAAAAAACAAAACAAAACAAAACCAACCAGTTGCACCATCACTAGCCAACCAGCCCAGGGCCCCTACAGTTCCCTCCTCCCCCATCTTGAGCGACCCCACGTCCCTTC